TGGTGTTTGTTGATTGGTGAGGGGATTTGGTGATTGTGTCCGCCCCCAATCAAAGTGCTTGTGAAGGGTTGTTGTGCCTTCCCCGGTGGAGCGCCAAAGGCAACTCTAGTAAATTGCTCGTGTCATTGAGTTGCCTCACTTGTAGGTTGGTTCTTGCGGCGCCTAAGTGTTGGGCTAGGTGTGTCATACCTATTAGCCACCGAACCACTAAGTGTTGGTCGACGCAACGGGGACTAGCGTGCCGGCAAGCACGTGAACCTCGGGAGAAAAATCTTGTGTCAATTGTGATTGGAATTCTCCCGGTGATTCTCTTGGTATCATTGATTGGTTCATTGTCTCTTGCCATGGCGGTATAATATCTCACTCACTCTCTTGTATTTACATTCTAGTGTAGCTAAGTTCTTTAGTGTAATTAGTTTTGAGAGCTAGCTTGTTTGTTGAGTAGTTTGGTTAGTGAGGCTCTTTAGTCTAGTCTTTGAGAGTTCACTAACTTAGCTTGTAGTGACTTGGCCTTTGCTTGACATAGAGATCATAGATAACTAGAATTGTTGGAATCAGTGGTTTGCAACCCTTATAGAGCTAGAGCAAAATTGTATTTTGCCATTTGGGTTTCTAACCCTTTGCTCTAGTGTATTTGTAGAAAATTTTATAGGCTATTCACCCCCTCTAGCTATTTAGGACCTTTCAGTGGCAGGGCCGCATTCCCTTTCATGGAGGTGTAGTCGACCTAGATGGTCGGCTACGAAGTCTAGATTCCCGAAGCGTAGAGCTTGGCTAGGGAGAAGACTGGGGACGGGTGCTGGTCCATCAACATCGGTGAACTCAAGGCTTCCAAAGCGAATGCGACCACCGGGGGCCGCGCCAAAAGCAAGTCTGACATAGGTGCAGGGAGCCATCGCTTCCTTCTCAACAAAGAGAGTGTGCGACTATCCTCTACCTGGCGCACCAACTGTAGGTGTTTCGTCAACCGACTAGTGAATTTGTATGAAAGCCGCGCTACTCTAGGAAAATGATGGTAGCATCCAAAAGACACAAGGAATTATATTGGTTCAGGCCGAAGCCCTACGTCAAGTCTCAGAGAAAATTGAGTGCGTGTTCCTCGGTTGAATGCTTTGAAATTCTTACAATGGGGTATGCAAGAAGGGTGAACGAGGTAGGAGAATGGTGATCTATGAGCTAGATGATCTAGAGATCTCCATGGAGGGGTGCCCTTGTTGCCCTTATATAGAGTTCGGCGCTAGGCCACATACAAAGAGATAGATTCTCCCGACCGAATGGTCATGAGGGAGGGAAACTAGCTAATTTGGCCGGCAAGGAAGGACATCTTGTCTTAGTGCAGCGCACGACCGGGCATGGTGAAAGCTCTAGTTTGGTTTTGGTGAATTGATAAAACCCTAAGTGTTAACCTAGTTTATCAAGTGATCATGAGATAGGTAGCACATTCCAAGTGGTGAAGCAAATGTAGATCATGAGATGATGATGGTGATGCCATGGTGATGATCAACTGCTTGGACTTGAAAAAAAGAAAGAGAAAAACAAAAGGCTCAAGGCAAAGATATAAGTGGTAGGAGCCATTTTGTTTCGGTGATCAAGACACTTAGCGAGTGTGATCACATTTAGGTTCGATAGCCGTACTATTAAGAGGGGTGAAACTCGTATCGAAATGCGGTTATCAAAGTGTCACTAGATGCTCTAACTCATTGCATATGCATTTAGGATCTAGTGGAGTGCTAACACCCTTGAAAATGTTTGTGAAAATATGCTAACACACATGCACAAAGGTGATACACATTGTGTTTAGCACTTGAGAGCAAGGGTTCGAAACTTCACCGGCGGAGTGTCCGCCCATAGAGTACGGACAGTCCGACGGTGCTACCGGCGCCCTGTACAGAAAAGACAGGGTTTCACAGAGTGGACCGGACGCTGGCCTCAACTGGACCAGCGTGTCCGGTCAGTGTAAGCAGTGAAGACGCTGGCGTCGGTCTTTGACCGAACGCTAGCGGGGTGTGTCTGGTCCTGCTAATATGGCAGCACACAGAGGAGACAGTGAGTGAACGGACGCTGGGTGAGTCCGGTCGGGCATGACCGGACGCGTCCGGTCGCAAGTGGAGGCTTACTGGAAGTGACCGGACGCTGGGTCCTGCATCCGGTTGTGATCCAACTGACGCGTCCGGTCACAGCTGGAACCTTACTGGAAGTGACCGAACGCTGGGGTCCTGCGTCCGGTCATGGCACTGTGCTGCGTCTGGTCATCACTTGACCGTTGGGATCGGACGCTCAGTATTTGAAGCAGGGGCCACGTGGCATGCATTGGGCGACCGGACGCTGAGGTCCTGCATTTGGTCGATCTGATCGGAGCGTCCGGTCACCCCGAGTAGTGCCCAGTGAAGGGGTACAACGGCTCTATTTCGTGGGGGCTTCTATTTAAGCCCCATGGCCGGCTTTAGCTCCCTCTCTTGGCCATTTGCATTGACATAGCAACCTTGTGAGCTTAGCTAAAGCCCTCCCACTCATCTCCATCATAGATTCAACATCTTTGTGAGATTGGGAGTGAATCCAAGTGCATTGCTTGAGTGTTTGCATCTAGAGGCACTTGATGTTCGTGTTTGTACTACGGGATTCGCTTGTTACTCTTGGTGGTTGCCGCCACCTAGACAGCTTGGAGCAGCGAGGATCGTCGAGCGAAGGTTGGTGATTGTCTCCAGCTCCGATCGTGGTGATTGTGAGGGGTTCTTGACCTTTCCCCGGGGGAGAGCCAAAAGGTACTCTAGTGAATTGCTCGTAGCTTATGTGATCCTCATCTTGTGTTGGTTGTGCCGCACCCTATTGAGGGTTTGGCGTGTGATGCCAATTAGCGCGTGAACCTCCAAGTGAGTGAATCGCTACAATGAGGACTAGCTTGCTGGCAAGCAAGTGAACCTCGATAAAAAATCATTGTGTCATCATTTGATTCCGAGGCGACTGGTCTTCATTGATATTGATTCTTATGATTGATTGGTTCATTCCTCGACTCAACGGTATAACCATCTTGCTCTTTCTCTTTACATTACCGCAAACTAGTTGTCAAGCTCTTTAGTATAGCAAGTCGTGAGAGCTTGCTAGTTTGGTTAGTGTGGCTCTTTAGTTAGCTTTTGAGAGCATACTAACTTAGTGTAATGACATAGCTATTGTGTGGATAGAGACTATATAAACTAGAATTGTGGTAGTTGGCTTGCATTTTTAGTAGGCTAGCGCAACACTCGCTTCGCCTCATATTTGTCTAACCAGTTTGCTAAGTGTTGTTGTAGAAATTTTTATAGGCTATTCACCCCCCTCTAGCCATTAAGACCTTTCATGTGATTGTCGTCATAGTCTTGTGCTCACATTGCGGCATGGGGAGGCGTGGTGCTACTGTGCCGGTCGTAATGGCACCATGTGGCACGGTGGTGGTTCGCCAGCCGTCCTATGCGACGTGGTCTCCGTCTTGGCCTCCTGATCTCCCAGGCTCATGGTACATGAGTTGGTAGTCTTGCCGACTGTGGAGCCGATGGCCATGATTCCAAGCTCTGGGGTCATGGCCTTCGTTGGCTTGGACAACCTTGAAAGTCAAGGTTGGTGTCGTGAGCTCCATCTCGTAGTGGGTGGGGCCGTACGTCCGTCCCGTCGGGTCGTATTTGGACGGTGGTTATCGTACATGTCGTCACCTCTTGGCGGTCCTGTCTTTGTTTGTGGCGTGGCGCAGGGATGGTACCTGCTCCGAGACGGCTGTCCCCTCAATTCTGTCGGAGCGAGCAGGCATGCCTGTCCTTGTCAGGCAGGTGTACATGGTGGGATTCGACCTCTCCCGTCCTTCCCAGGGGTTGAAACGGGAGAGAGGTCGTGCGGCAAAGGGACGAAGAGGAGGTCGTGGCTGACTCCCCATCGTAGTATCTGGCCCACGTCTACACAGCTTAGTTGGGTTGCTATTTCTCGGGCTTATACCAGCTTAGTGTATTGTGGGCCGCCTGATCGGCTAACTAACCGATGCCTTGAGATACCCGGAGTATCATAACCCCGACAAATCCTCTATTTAAATCTATAAAAAATATATTAAAGTTTTAAAATATTTGCAGCAACAAATAAATTAGGTTTAAACTAAATTAGAAAAGTACTAAACTAATTAAATCTTTATGTATCATTAAGAGTATTAAATTAATATTGAAAAGTTATTATAGATGTACCATTAAATAGTTTCAATGCATCATTAGTGATATTAAAATTAGATAATTAGTTAGTAAATATGCAGAGAAAACTTTTAATTATATTTATTATAACTTATTCTTCATGGATATGGATAAATGTCGGATGTTCCATATTTTTGTCGAATACGGATCTAGAATCAGATAGAGAATAATACTGAAAAGGATTTGTATACATCCATTTATTAACATCCACGTTACAAACGGATACAAATAGGGATATTCATATTACATGTTTTAACGGATACAAATTCAGATAATTTGGAATTCCATATATTTATTTTCATCCCAAGAGAGTATAAGCCTGTTCGTTTGTCTGAATTCTGGAGGAATCTGGATGGTTTGGAGGAATGCTAGAGAAATTTATGAGAGAAAAACACTGTTCTCGATAAAAAAAATAAGCGAATCAAACCGAATTTAAGGGCACGCGAAGTTAAGTAGCTGGCATTAAATTATAGGCTATATCATGTCTCATCCACGTCACTATCAAAATCGACAGCAACCACTGTGGACGAGCAGTCCCCCAACTCAAAACCTTGAGCTGTCCGATTGGGCTCATGAAGTTAGGTGAGGTTTCCTGTGACGGTACATAGGAAACTCAAAACCTTGCGCAGTCCATAATGTACCGGCGGCACTAAAGTTTCCTATGTGCATTCCCTCAATCTCCACATATATTCAACTATCTCAACTCCGATGCCGTTGTGACCTGTGACGGCCAGTGTTCAGTTCCATTCCAGTCCACTACTCCTTCGCTTGCTTGCTTCTGCGCCATTGCTCCCAGCAATGGCAGAACCTCTCACGTCGTCTCTCTTGCTAGCCCTTGTCTTCCTCACGATCTCAGCCGGCCCTGTGGCATCGTCCTCCCTATCCGGTGACCCTAGGGATGTCGCTGTCGACAGCCACACGCTCCTGTCCTTCAAGTCGCTCATGAGTGGCCCATCACTGCAGGCTCTAGCGTCGTGGAGCAGCAATGGATCCACGCCGGTGTGCCAATGGCGCGGCGTGGCGTGTGGCACGAGGGGACGCCGCCGCGGCCGTGTCGTCACGCTGGCACTGCCAGAGCTCGACCTCCTCGGCAAGGTGAGCCCTGCACTGGGAAACCTCACCTACCTGAGGCGGCTTGATCTTCCCAGCAACTGCCTCCACGGCACGCTGCCTCCGGAGCTTGGCCACCTTCGTGAGCTCAGGTATCTCAAGCTCAACAATAACTCCATCCAAGGGTCCATCCCTCCATCGCTCTCCAGCTGCAAGCAGCTCAGGAGCATCCAGCTATACAGCAACAAGTTGCAGGGGCAGATCCCAAGGCAGCTTGCAGCACTCCTAAATCTCGAGGAACTCGTCCTTGGCAAGAATACACTGACAGGAAGAATCCCTTCCAACATTAGGAGCCTTGCAAGCCTCAAACTTTTGGTGGTAGAGTTCAACAACCTGACAGGAGAAATCCCGTCGCAGATTGGCAGCCTGGTCAACCTCGTCTATCTGGGTCTAGGTTCCAATCAGCTCTCAGGCCCCATTCCCACTTCGCTAGGGAACCTCTCGGCTTTAACAGTTCTTAACGCCTACGAGAATGAACTGGCAGGGAGCATACCCCCGTTGCAAGGCATGTCATCTCTCAGGGAACTTGATCTCACGGCAAACAACATTCAAGGAACCATCCCTCCTTGGTTAGGGAATCTCTCCTCCATGGTATCTTTAAACCTTCAGAGAAGTAGCCTTGGGGGATGCATTCCAGAATCTTTAGGGAACCTTCAGTTGCTTTCGTCCATTTCATTGGCAAATAACAAACTTGTAGGTCCTATTCCTGATGCCTTCAAAAACATGCATGCCCTTACTGAACTTTACCTAGAGAATAATCAGCTAGAAGGCCCTTTGCCACTTTCGATGTTCAACCTCTCCACTCTTAAAATGCTAAACATACAAAACAACAGCCTCACTGGGGGGTTTCCACCTGACATGGGCAATAAGCTTTCCAAACTACAGCAGTTCCTTGTATCCGATAATCAATTTCATGGTCTGATCCCACAATCCTTGTGCAATGCATCCATGCTTAAGATGATTCAAACAGTAGATATTTTTTTATCCGGAACAATTCCACAATGCTTGGGAACTCGCCAAGAGTTGCTGTCTGTAGTGAATTTTATGGGAAATCAGCTTGAAGCAACAAATGATGCTGATTGGGGTTTCTTGACTACTTTAACGAATTGTAGCAATATGATTGTACTGGATGTTAGTATGAACAGGCTCAAAGGAGTGCTACCAGAATCAATTGGTAATCTGTCAACACAAATGGAGTTCCTTGGCATAGCATCCAACTATATAAAAGGAACAATAACTGAAGCGATAGGAAACCTCATCAACCTGGATTACCTTGACATGGAAAATAATCTTCTACATGGCCCTATTCCACCATCTCTCGGCAAACTTCAGAAGTTGAATAGATTATATTTGACAAATAACAATTTGTCAGGATCCATCCCAGTGACTCTTGGAAATCTCACCAAACTCACTACCCTTTTCCTCAGTACTAATGCACTCGGCGGTGCCATACATTCTACTCTCAGCAATTGTCCTTTAGAAGCATTTGATCTCTCTTTTAACAATCTTTCTGGTCCCACACCTAAGGAACTTTTTCACATCTCAACCTTATCAAGCTTAATGAATCTTGCACATAACTCATTAACTGGGACTTTACCTTTGGAAGTGGGAAATCTCAAGAAAGTAGCTGAACTCGATATCTCTGATAATATGATTTCAGATAAGATTCCTATCACCATTGGGGAGTGCCAAAGCTTACAATTGTTAGTTGATCTCCACCAATAGGCCCAACGGATCTGCGCCCTGATCGGGGGCGCCCAACCCTAATGTGGTTGGTGGCCCCCTGTCGCACAGCACTATAAATAGAGGAGTGGGGAACTAGGCTCGACCAACAAGGTTGGTCTGAGCCACCGTGACCCACCACAGTAAACCTAATCCGATCAAAGGAGTGTTGCCAGCGACGGGAAGCCCACCGACTCCGCCGTCGCCCCTGCAGGGTCACCACCATCGCCACTGGACCTCGCCTGCATCGCCACCACAACGCCTACAACGCCATGGTACCGACGTCTACACTGCTGCGGTGAAACTATGCAAGAGCGAGGAGGCTTACCCCAGATCTACGGTTACAGAAAGGTACACCATGATCTCTAACAATGGTACCAGAGCTAGGTTGCCAGTGTGTAACCCTAACCCTAACCGGGTAAAAGCAAATTGAAAAGAGATCAGGGGTGGCGGACGTCACTGGAACCCGGTCACCACCGCCACCGCGCGGGGGAAAGTGCCGCACCGCCGTCCTCACCGGCGCGCGGCAAGAAAACAAGAGAAGAACATTCGTGTTCGGATCAGAGAAGAGATAGGGGAATGTTAGTTGATCTCCACCAATAGGCCCAACGGTCTATTGGGCCCTTGGATCTGCGCCCTGATCGGGGGCGCCCAACCCTAATGTGGTTGGTGGGCCCCTGTCACACAACACTATAAATAGAGGAGTGGGGAACTGGGCTCGACCAACGAGGTTGGTCTGAGCCGTCGTGACCCACCACAGTAAACCTAATCCGATCAAAGGAGTGCTTTGCCGGTGACACGGAAGCCCACCGACTACGCCGCCATCGCCTCGCAGGTCACCATCGTCCACATGGACCTGCTCTGCGATCGCCACCACACAGCGCCTACAGCGCCATGGTACCGAGCGTCTACTCTACAACTGCTCAGGGGCGAAACTACATAAGAGCGAGGAGGCTTACCCGGATCTCTGATTCTGAGAAAGGTACACCATGATCTCTAACAATGGTATCAGAGCCAGGTTGCTAGTGTGTAACCCTAACCCTAACCGGGTAAAAGCAAATTGAAAAGAGACCGGGGGTGGCGGACGTCACTAGAACCCCGGTCACCACCGCCACCGCGCGGGGAAAAGTGCCGCACCGCCGTCCTTGCTGGCGCGCGGCAAGAAAACAAGAGAAGAACATCCGTGTTCGGATCAGAGAAGAGATAGGGGCCTCGGCACTTCTAGCCGAACCCTAACCCACAAAGAGAAAGAAGAACAGTGGGGTCAGAACCCTAACCCTAACTCGTGACGAGGAAGGGAAGAGAATGATTTGGTATAAATAGAAAAGAAAAGAAATCAAAAGAAAAGTGAAACCCTAACCCTATATCTCGATTCGGATGAACTCCGAAAAGAAAAGAAATCAAAAGAAAAGCGAAACCCTAACCCTAGAACGAATCCCCATCCCAAATCGGTTCAATCCGAGCACCAAAAGAGAACCAGAGAAGAAAACCAAAGAAAGAAGAAGAACAGTCCAAACCCTAATCCCTATCACCGGTTCGGATAAGAGAAAAGAAAACCAAATTGGAGAAGGGAAAAGGGGGAACGGACCTACCTCGCCATGCGTCGGGATGACCCTTTGCCGGCGCGGGAGACGAAGGGCCGAGCTTGGGGTAGCTGCTCGCCGGGCTTGGCCAAGGGGGCGCCACGGCCAGGCCGCTCGACGGCAGCGTGCTCACCCGTTGGGGAGCACGCGCGCCAGCGAGGGGGCTAGCGACGGCGCCATGGCTGCCTCGCTCCGCCGCCTTCGTCGCTCTTGGTTCGCTCGCTCGGTTGTGCTCGCTGCGCTAAGGAGAGATGAAAGAGCGGTGTAGAGAGAGAAGAGGGAGGGGCGAATGACGCTAGGGTTATGGTGGCTCCGACGCGGCGCTGGTTTTGACCGGCCGAAACGACCGCTCGACTATCCGATTGAATTTAACGGCGCAGGATGCACGGGCCGCATCATGGCCCAAGCGGGCAAGCGCACCGCGGTGCTTTGCCGGCCCAGGCCCACGTTGCGGCCTGGTAAGGCAGCGCGCGCGCGAGAGAGACGGGGCCGGCCTGAGGCTAGATCTGGGCCGGGCCACTATGCCAGTTTTGGCCCAAGATCAGTATTTTCTTTTTTATTTTCCAGTAATTGCTTATTTCTGGAAAATAAAAAATAGCTCAAAGAAAATAGAAAAATTAAATTTTCCCTATGGGTAAAATTCAAGAAATTGAGTATACGTTTTCCGCTGTTAAAGAAATAGTTGATTCTCCAGTTATTTTGAACCAACGTGATATTTAATTGGAGAAAAAGAGAGTTTTTCTGCTGCTAAAGAAATTGTTTATTCTCCAGTTATTTTGAACCAACATGATATTTAATTGGAGAAAAAGAGAGTTTTTCCACTGCTAAAGAAATATTTATTCTCCAGTTATTTTGAGCCAACGTGATATTTAATTGGAGAAAAAGAGATTTTGACTTGATTATGATGTTGTTATTTTCTGACCAACGTTGTTAATAATAATATCGTAATTTTAAAGATTTTAAGCATTAATTCTATTTCTGCCCAACGGTGATGTAGAATTAGTGTATAAGAACAATATCGTGATTTTAATGATTTATACATTAATTCTATTTCTGCCCAACGATGATGTAGAATTAGTGTATACGAACAGTTGTATGTTTTGATTTTGACCAACGTTGGAATCAAGGCATAAAAATGGTGTTATTTTTATGTTAAGAAAAGGTTTGACCTGGTTTTCATCTTGTCTAAGGTGGACTGGGTAGTCACCCCGCCGTGTTCCACAGAGTCTGTGGCACCGGTGAGGGAGACAAACGAGGATAATGCCGTTTGGGCAACTAAAGAGAGGGATTTTGAAATTCCGAAAGATATCCTATGCCCTTGTGCATATGAAGTGGGTCACTGTTAACAAGAAATGTTTGGCTGTGATAAAGAACACGATTGAGTCTACAATTATAGGCTCAATCTCAGAGTGTGATACGGTCACCGAGTACCATGATAGAATAAAGAGTCAGTTCACTGGCTCTTCAAAGACATATGCTACCCAGCTGATAAAGCAGTTGGTGACAGAAAGTTAATCTGAAAATTATGGTATAAGAGAGCTCACAATGCGTCATCAAAATTATGGCACTATCGTTTAGGCCATATTTCGAGGGGGAGAATAAAAGACTAGTTAAGAATAATATTTTTCCTCCATTAGAGCTCTCATATTTAGAACAATGCAGAGAATGCATAAAAGAAAAGTGTGTAAAGAAAATTAAGAAAGATGCCAAACAAAGTGCAGGAATTTTACAGATTATTCACACAGACATCTGTGGTCAGTTTCGTGTAAAGAGTGTGGATGGTTATGTTTCATTCATAACATTCACAGATGAGTACTCCTATTATGGCTACATTTATCCAATCAAAGAAAGAAAATAAGCATTGGATAAATTTAAGAAATTTAAGGCAAAAGTTAAAAATCAACATAATTTAAAGATTAAGATAGTCAGGTCCGACCATGGGGGAGTACTACGGTCGGCATACCCCATATGGCCAAATTCCTGGACCTTTTGCAAGGTTCTTACAGGAGAATGTCATAGTAGCCTAGTATTCTATACCGGGCGAACCTCAGCAGAATGGAATAGCTGAAAGACACAATCGTACCCTGATGGATATGGTGTGTAGTATGATAAGTTACTCCACCTTACAGTTGAGCCTATGGTAGTCAGGTCCGACCGTGGGGGAGTACTACGGTCGGCATACCCCATATGGCCAAGTTCCTAGACTTTTTGCAAGGTTCTTACAGGAGAATGGCATAGTAGCCCAGTATTCTATACCGGGCGAACCTCAGCAGAATGGAATAACTGAAAGACGCAATCGTACCCTGATGCATATGGTGCGCAGTATGATAAGTTCCTCCACCTTACAGTTGAGCCTATGGATGGAGGCATTAAAAACCGCCATTCATATTCTCAATAGAGTACCAAGTAAGTCGGTGCCTAAAACACCGTATGAGTTGTAGACAGGAAGAGTACCCTCACTAAATCACTTACGTGTGTGGGGGAGTCCTACTAAAGCTAAAGTATTTAACCCAAACATTAGGAAACTAGATCCCAAAACAGTAAGTTGCCATTTCATTGGCTACCCAGAAAAGTCAAAAGGTTTTCGTTTCTACTGTCTAGAGAGATACAAAGTTTATGGAAACGAGACACGCTGTCTTCCTAGAGGATGAATTGATGAGGGGGAGCATGGTAGCTCGAGAAATTGACCTTGAAGAGAAGTGGGTGTATACGCCCACTCCAATGTTTCATGAGCCAATTTTCTCACTACCTGCTGTCACTGCACCGACAGTGCAAGATACTGTGGTGTCAGCACCTATTGTTATTCCGCCTGTGGCAACAATGAGTGACCATGAGGAACCTGTTCTTCAGGATCCTGTAGAACCTATTGCCACACATGAGGGGGAGCAACAACAGCCTCAAACAGAAGATGTGCCAAATGTGGAGGCCCCTAGAAGGTCTCAGAAAGTTAGAAAATCAGCTATTCCTGCTGATTATGAAGTATACAACACTGAGGAATTTCAAATGGAGGATGATCCTACTTCATTTGAAGAAGCCATGAGAAGTGATCATTCATCAAAGTGGCTTGAGGTCATGGAAGATGAAATGAAATCAATGAATGCCAATAAAGTTTGAGACTTGGAAATAATTCCTAAAGGAGCCAAAGCAGTAGGCTGTAAATGGATCTACAAAACAAAACTTGACTCTCAAGGGAATATAGAGAGATATAAAGTGAGACTTGTGGCAAAAGACTTTACGCAAAGAGAATGGATTGATTACAATGAGACCTTTTCTCCAGTCTCATGTATGGATTCCTTCATAATCATAATGGCATTAGTGGCACATTACAATTTAGAATTACATCAGATGGATGTAAAGACGACATTTCTCAACGGGGACTTGGAGGAAAATGTTTACATGGCACAACCGAAAGGTTTTGTCATGGAAGGAAAAGAACGAATGTGATGCCGCCTAAAGAAAACCATTTATGGATTAAAACAAGCTTCAAGACAGTGGTACTTGAAGTTTGATCAGACAATAAATAATTTTGGGTTTAAAGAGAATGTAGAGGACAATTGTGCCTATACAAAGTTTAAGAATGGGAAGTTTATCTTCCTTATCCTATATGTGGGTGATATCTTACTTGCTAGTAGTGATGTCAGTCTACTACTGGAGACAAAGAAGGTTTTGTCCTCAAAATTTGATATGAAAGATCTTGGTGAAGCTTCGTTGATTCTAGGGATCGAGATTCACCGAGATAGAAGTAAAGGGGTATTAGGACTGTCACAAAAGGCATACATAGAAAAGATCTTAAAGAAATTTTATATGCACAAATATAGTCCCTCACCTGCTCATATAGTTAAGGGCGACAGATATGGGGATTTTAAATGCCCTAGGAACCAATATGAGATCGATCAAATGAAAGTGGTTCCATATGCTTCAACTGTCGGAAGCTTGCAATATGCTCAAGTATGTACGCACCCTGACTTGGCATTTATTACTGGGTTACTTGACAGATTCTAGAGCAATTCTGGAACAGAACACTGGAAATTGGTAAAGAAAGTCTTGCATTATTTGCAAGGAACGAAAGGCCTCATGATGGCATATAAAAGATCTGATTCACTCCATATAGTGGAATATTTAGATTCTGATTATGCGGGAGATGATAGAAAATCTACGTCGGGATATGTATTCACTCTCGCAAAGGGGAGCTATTTCATGGAAAAGCTCAAAGCAAACCGTCACTACATCGTCCACAATGTATGACAATTTATAGCGTGTTATTAGGCAACGGGGCAGGTGAACTGGCTAAAGAAGTTCATACCGGTGTGAAGGTGGTTGATGACATCTATAGACCACTTAAGTTATATTGCGATAATAATCCGATAGTACAGTATGCTTACAACATAAGTCAAGTGGTGCTGCCAAACACATTGACATAGAGTATTATGTTGTGAAAGATAAAGTCCGGGATCAAGTCATAAGTCTTGAGCATATAAGTACAGAAAAGATGCTCGCGGATCCGCTTACAAAAGGCTTACCACCCAACGTGTTCAGAGAACATGGTGTTCAGAGAACATGTAGCTAGCATGGGTTTAAGGGAAAGCCTAAAATTCCTGAACAAAAGAAGACCCAAAGATAAGTATCTATTTCATAACAGAGTAGTGTGTTGTAGCTGCTAAATCCATCGGCAATGGACCGTGACGATGAGACATGCTCTATGCGCTAATCTGTAATGGAATGAACAAAAGTAAATGATATGAAATTGAAAGATAATAATGAGATCAAGGGGGAGAATGTTAGTTGATCTCCACCAATAGGCTCAACGGCCTATTGGGCCCTTGGATTTGCGTCCTGATCGGGGGCGCCAAACCCTAATGTGGTTGGTGGGTCCCTGTCGCACAACACTATAAATAGAGGAGTGGGGAACTGGGCTCGACCAACGAGGTTGGTCTGAGCCGCCGTGACCCACCACAGTAAATCTAATCCGATCAAAGGAGTGCTGCCAGCGACGGGAAGCCCACCGACTCCGCCGTCGCCCTTGCAGGGTCACCACCGTCGCCACTGGACCTCGCCTGCATCGCCACCACAACGCCTTTAAGGCCATGGTACCGGCGTCTACACTGCTGCGGCGAAACTACGCAAGAGCGAGGAGGCTTACCCCGGATCTACGGTTACAGAAAGGTACACCATGATCTCTAACAACAATATCTCAATATGTCCGGCAACTTCCTTGAGGGAACAATTCCCTTAACTCTAGGACAGTTAAGGGGTCTCCAAGTCCTTGATTTTTCTCGAAATAATTTATTTGGCAGAATTCCCAACTTCCTCAGTGGTATGACAGGTCTTTCTAGTTTGAATCTTTCATTCAATGGTTTTGAAGGTGAAGTTCCAAATGGTGGAATATTTCTTAATACAACAGCAACCTCAATCATGGGAAACAGTGATTTGTGTGGTGGAATCCCTCAATTCAAGTTAAGAGCATGTTCCACTATTGCCAAAAAGAAGCTATCTTCAAAGATTGTCGTGTTTATCATCGTAAGCAGTGCAATTCTGCTTGCCATACTATCTGCATTGTTCGTGTTATGAAATAGGAGTAACCTTAGAAGAGCAAACCGGCACGTATCACTATCCAGTGAGAAACACATCAGAGTTTCTTATGCCGAATTGGCCAAAGCAACAAGTGATTTCACATCCAGGAACCTCATTGGAGTAGGCAGCTTTGGTGCAGTGTACAAGGGGACAATAGAAATCTGTGCCCAACAAGTGGTGGTTGCAGTGAAGGTGCTCAACTTGCAACAAGCTGGTGCAACTCGAAGTTTTGATGCAGAATGTGAGGCTTTGAGATGTGTTCGACATCGGAACATTGTAAGGGTTATAACAGTGTGCTCAAGCATTGATTACCGAGGTGCTGATTTCAAGGCACTTGTATTTGAGTATCTGCCCAATGGAAATTTAGACCAGTGGCTACACAAGCATCTGGAGGAAGATGGTGAACCCAAGATTCTAGATCTTATTGGGAGACTCCAAATTGCCATTGATGTAGCTTCTGCAGTCGACTACTTGCACCATCACAAACCATTTCCAATTATTCACTGTGACCTCAAGCCGAGCAATATTCTTCTTGACAACAACATGGTTGCACATGTTGGCGATTTTGGGCTTGCAAGGTTCCTACATCAAGAACATATTGACAAGTTAGAGAGATCAACTGGATGGAGTGCAGTAAGAGGAACAATTGGTTATGTTGCTCCAGGTGCGCATAATTCTACTCATTTAATTTATAGTGAAGCCATCTGTTTAAAATTTCCTTCCATCTAACACAGTGTTTGTTGAATCCAGAGTATGGACTGGGCAATGAAGTCTCGATCCATGGTGATGTCTACAGTTATGGTATACTATTGCTGGAGATGTTCACTGGAAAAAGACCAACAAACTCTGAGTTTGGGGAAGCTCTTAGCCTTCATAGGCATGTAGAAATGGCACTGTCAGATCAAGCAGCCAATGTCATTGACCAAGACCTACTAAGAGCAACAGAGAGTGTTAAAGGAATAGCACAGAACTATCATGGCACTGAAGAGAATGAAATTGGTTGCATCGTTTAGGTTCTGAAGGTTGGAATTATGTGCTCGGAGGAGACACCAACTGATCGCATTAATATTGGAGATGCACTGAGAGAGTTGCAGGCAATTAAAGAAAAGTTCTGCATGCATCAGAGATCTTCTTGGTGAATTAGCAGCAAATCACTTGCATATTGTATTCATGGTTGTGCTTGTGCATGAGACACATCATAAATTATCGAGGAAGACGCTGTAATGGTGTGTGCAAACCAGTCATTTAAGTTTTGAAGAAGACGCTGGAAGCTGAAAAGACTTTAGCAGAAGCATTTAACAAGAAAGCTATGGTTTTTCCAACTCCTTGTTACCAACTATCTTAGTTTAGTCATTTTAGGAAAGCTTCACCTCCTATTCCAAGTAAAATTGATGATGTCATGTCATGCAAAGTAATGGTATGCATATTGCTCTATTTTCATACCTGTATATTATAATGATTTAATCACTGCTAAGAGGAAACAATTCCCCTCAGTTAGGCACATTAAAAATTTCCATGCCCTGTAATCTACTCATTTGCAGACTCAGTTATCTGTAGGCTTGCATCCCCCATTGAGTTATTTCTTTTTGCAACTTCTGTACAAGTAGCAAGCAGCAATCGAAGAGATCTCTAGGAAGGAGATCGACATTTACGTAGCTCCAGTGTCGAGAAGCGTACCAGGTAGAAGTAGTGGTGGAACTAGACGGCAATTGCCATAGGATGCGCAGGGGTTGATGCTGCCGGCTGCTGCATGTGTCGAGTGCGATGGTTGGTGGAACGCTGAAGCAGCAGCTAGTGGCGATGTTGCAGGGTGGCTGACGCTCCATGGGGAAGAAACTGCAAGCCGAGCGTGACTGACAGACATAGGACAACGTAGACACCTAACCCTGAAACTAGTAAGCAGGCTTCACAACGCCTGACTAATGGATTTCTTTTTTTAGAAAACAAGAATTTTATCATGAACATCGAGGGGTCATGTTTAGTTAGTATTCATTATCTTCCATGCGGCAGAAGTTTAGTTCTTCTTTTCATTTAAGCTTGACTACAGCAATATACACTTAGGCAACAAGCTAAGTTTCATGGAATTACCCTACCAGGAGCATCTGCTGATCAGATTCTGAAGCAATAAATTCATCATTGTCTTGCGCAACGTGCTTCTTGGATCTGATTGATCCAGAAGAATTGGTGGAACATCCAAACACTATCTTTCGTCTTCCAGTTTCGACATTCCACTTTAAATATGCAACCTCATGAGATGCCCCATAATACATGGATATGTTTTCGCAGTGAAATTATGGTTTAAATATGTTCACAGCACTGAGAACTCCTGTGAAAAATAACTCATTATGTGCAGTTCTAGTCCAGCCTTTTCGCCTCCCAATTTTGGCCTCATTAAGTCTGTAGTATGCTGTATCTCTCTCAAACTCTGAAATTGCCTTCTCCAGTTCACCCACCTTATTCGAAATTATATCCAAGTGAGTAAAGGACATTGGCGGTACCACAAAATAAGTAGATGTAATTTTATGATAACCTTTCTGGTACTTAGCATAATAACAGCACTACATGAGCGGCTGATAGTGATGCTGCCTGAGGTGTAGCAAGCATGCAAAGGAAAATGTCTAACATGGAAATCCTTCTGAATAGCATGGATTGGAAATTAGAATAACAACAATCCAAATGCTGAGGCAACTCCATTCCATGCACCTGCCATTGGATACTTTCAGCTGGTTCAGCAGTTCTTTGTTCAGATAAAAAATATTCTCCCATATTCAATTCAGGTGTATGCTTCATATTGGTGTAATGCACCTTGCACTTTGTCATTCCCTACAATAACAGGAAAAGAAGGAAGCTTTAGTTATATCATATGCAGCATAAATGGGTACGCAATGTATGAAGTCTAGTCTAGGAATCAAAATATGACGACTAGTGGTGTAACAGCTATTTCTTCGAACATCTGCATACAACCAAGAAAACGGCGCCAGCCGCCAACTCTGCTCGATTCACTGCTCCCTACCCTACCATGACACCGCGACTCACTACACGCACAAACTCTGCAGCGCGGACGGATGAGCATCAAAGAAGACCCTCGCGGTTCCGAACAACGAAAGAAACGGGCGGATGGAGGAACGGGGACCAGAGGGCGGGCAGAAGGTGAGCAGCTCACCGAGTCCTGGATCTCGTCCTTGACGATGTAGAAGGGAGGCCCTACGCGGGGGTCATCCTATTATCGCTGTGTCAGAGTGCCCCAGCCGTCGAGACGAGATCCCGCCTCCGTGCCTGCCCCTGCCCCTGCCCGTGGCTCCGTGCTCTGCCAATGAGCAGGGGAGGTGAAGGGGAAGAAGGGAAAGGAAGGGGAAGGGGAAGGGAGTACAGATTGGGCCGGAGAAGTGGGAAGTGGGCTTTCATGGGCAATCCAACTTTCTCTTGCCTTGCTCAAAAGACGAAGAAAAAACATTTTTAACTCCTTGGATTATTGTCACGGTTCAAGTTTTCTCCCCTGAATCATTTCCTCCAAGCTTCTTTCGTGCTCCCTGTGTGGCCGTGTGGGTGCTTAATGCAAAGTTGAGGGACGCCACCAGGTTGCCCTTGGGCATCTATGGCTATGGGGTGGAGGCGTGGAGCTATAGTGATTCCTTGACCAAACTTTTGGATGGTGCAGGCTGAGAAAATGGTTACAAAGTTGGAGTTTTGGGATGGGTTGTCATCAATGAACTATCAGATTGTTCGGCTGATTATCAAGACCACTGTTCCAGCTGCTGCTGCATGAGTATTGCTAAGAATATGCAAATGTTGGATGGCTGATTGCTGCTCTGCTGCAACTAGCAGCCGAACAATCTATATGTTCCTGCTTTATTCTAGAGGGACACTATTTATAGTGCCAAAGTTACACTCGAGGACTATAACCATAACGCTCCTACCCTGGAGCATACCCCTAATATCATAAGGACATTATGGTCTTTTGAGTTTAAGTCCATATAGGAATCGAAGTAGAAATTGACTTTCTAGGTTAGTGTCCATGTCCTCGCTTCTGCCCACCCTCCGAAACATTGCCACCACCTCCTCGGGCATAGTAGGACTTAGTTTTGGACCGCCTGAAGGTGTCTTCGTGTTTACCCTTCAGGAGAGGACGGTGGTGTGCCCTAGTCTTCTTTTCGGAGACCTTATGAAGATGACTTCTGCAGCAGCTGGCCCATCCCTTTGGAACGTCCTTTCAGATGAAGACCGGAGAGGGTTCTTGGGTTCCTTATTGCACGAGCAAGCATCTCGGCTCACACCAGTGATTAATGGTTGTGCGAATGGAGGAGGACCCTACGAGGGATACATGCCCCCAACAAAGTATATATCTAAGCATATTGTCAGTTATATGGACTCACGGTCCCTCCACCTGGTGAAGAAGAGCCCACTACAGCTAGGATGGGCTGGTGGCTGGTGCTACTGAATATGAGGCCCAACTCAGACGGTACGTCACAGACTCTTGAAGCAATTTGCCCGGATGGAGTTTGAAGATCAGATGTACCAAAAATAACAGGCTCTATCTAATAGATTCGTTGTAACCGATTATGAGACTTATATCTCAATCGAATGGGATCTAATTTGTAACTCTACTTCCTGGGCTATATAAGACGAGACAGGAAACCCCCATTCGGTGCCTTGCAATCCCGTAGCGATCTAGGAAAACAATATTATTCCATATGAAATAATATTATTTTTACAAAACGAAGTTAAAGTACTATATTGGGACCATATATATTACATCGATGCCATAGTAGACTTAATTATACTTGTGATGATAGGAGGAAATAGGTGGTACAACGCTGCAAAAATATGAGAGATATGTACGCCATCACATTATTATTTCTCATTCATGATCCGTGCATGCCTGACCTCTTGTTGGGATGCAAGATATGGATCGCACTTGTGACGAAAAATGTAGTAGGGCTACTTCTCCTAACACAGCAATAATGCAGTGGTTGCTGCTGCATACTTGCTGCATTATTGCTCCATGGAACATTTGGATCTACCTTGCTTTGGATCTAATGCAAGCAGGGCACACATGTCGCTTGTCTTGGTCCATCTCTTTTGCTTTCATCCTTTAACTTCAGTGTCATTATTGTTGCATTTGCTTGAAATGACATTGCCAGAGTATTGTTTGATTAAGATATAAAATGCTTAAAATCAAGTATCAATATTTATATCATATATTGTTCCAGTTAAAATAACAGGTTACAAATTTATTGTCTTGATGCACTAATAATTTAAAGTGAGTAGTCAATGTCATGGACATATAATTTGTGAAGGGAACATTTTTATATGCTTGAAAATTTATTGAAATAAGTATTTACCACAATGTATAAACGTTTACTTGGTTTACATGGTGTACTTTCAATTTATCGGTGTAATTAAGAAATATATATAATATACTTTACGGTTCTTGAATTATTTTTCAGAATAGCTTTTATTGCTATTTACTAAAATGTTTGAGGGATATTTTATTTTTTATATTATGATAGAGTGGGTAATTTAGACCCAAAGTAAGTTGTTACTTTATATTATATATCTTTGACAATGTTATATTTAGGTAATTTAGATTCAGACTAAGATGTTACATTGCATTCTCTTTGTTAATGTAATGGTAGAGGTTGGTAATTTATAAACAAATTTAAGTCTGTATTTTAAATTGTATTCGAAAGTGGCAGGGATGGGTAATTCTACAAACAAATTTAGGGTGTATTTTTAATTTACATTTTATATTGGCATAGGTGGGTAGTTCAGATTGAAATTGAGAGGGTTATTTTTCGTAAGGATAGATGTAATTATTAGTTTATAAAACATAATAGCAAACTAAATGTCTATTATTAAAGTCCTGATTAACATGCATAAGAACAGAGTAATCCATTTTAGTATCAGGTCTCATGAGGATTTATGTGTTTCCATAGTCTCTAATTAGCAATAGTACGACCACTATTAATACCACCTCTTTCTCTTGATCTTTTTAGGTATCTTGTCATTGTGGATGACATTTGGCATTGCCAACAATGGGAAGTCATAAGGAAGTCTCTTGAAAAGAATGACCGGGGCAGTAGAATTATCAGGACAACTCGAGTTAATTCAGTAGTTGAGAAATGTTGCAAGGACGATCATGCTGTTGTTTGTGAAGTAACGGGGCTTTATATGGACTAGTCCATGACGCGCGCCCTTGCGCGCGCCGGCAAATCACCTGGTTAAGGCGTTGACAAAAAATATGTTTAATCTTTGCATGGAAACAATATTAGGAGTTTAATGTAGAGCACTGTTGGTCCAAACTGAGAGGTTGGGCTGATGAACATACCATGATGAACGATTTCTGCTCCAGCGCTGCAAGTACAAACACTGAAAATTAGCAAGAGGCAGTTCCTGTGCTTTCAATTTGGACTATGTAAACCACCAACCAACCATGCCCGCACTGCGCCGCGTTTAGCAAGGTCCTGTGACAAAGGCCAGTTGGATGATGCTGATATAATCGTACGAGGGATGCATAAACAAATAAAGTGATTGCACCGTATGAAGGTATGAGCAGGAAGAACAAAATGACAGCTGGCACAGCAATGGCTCACCCACATTGGTCAGATTCAATTAAACAAAGAACGTGTCCATATATATCAAACACAACCGGTATGAAAATAATTCTATTCCATTGATTCTGTTACTACTAACTGATACTATTAGGACACGGAGGAGCACGGATCACATGGAAACTCAAAAGGCTAAAACAAACCTTCTTCTCCTTTTCGAGAATCTCCCTAGTAGGATGATGAGCAGTAGTAACACACGGATTTTGGAAATAATGAGTCAAGAGATTAACAACAATCAATATTTGATCGTAAAAGTAAGTGCCATAACAAATTCATCGCATTAGTAGTATTATACCTTGAAATCACTACGTGAGTATCCTCCTGTCAAGATAGCTATAGGTTTTAGATCAACGTCATCTGCCAAATCTTCCCTGGCTAGCATTACACAAAGATTTTTTGTCCTATTCGATGCATCTGGCAAATTCGCCATAAACCTAGAGAAACCATTGGCCCGTAAGATTGAGGTCAATAAACTACTGGCTGATGTTGGATTAGGCTATAAATAAATAAACAATAAATCACCTCCTTGGAAGTCCACCTAACAACAGCCTCATCAGGATCAAATGGCCTGTTAGATGCGGCGAGTACTAATACACGTTCATCTTACGTGCATGGCTCCATGTTCTCCAGTGTTCTTCCGCCTTCCCAACATGCCATCAATATAAACAAAAGGAGAGGATGAATGAGCCGGACAATATGTATCAATATGAGATTGACAACAAACTATAGATATGGTGTCCTGGTAGTCTGGTACAACTGAAATAAATAGAAAACGTTCATGGATCACCACACCACTATAATTCACCCAAACAGTTAAATTCATTGACATGGCTGGTATAAAACCGAATATAAACAACACAAGTTAGCTTTCTATCAGGTAAAGGTAGTGTTCCATTGCTAGCGTAGCGCTAAAAACAAAGAATTATTGCTATCTTAAGAACACTCAACCATATCCAAAAACAGAAAGTAATCAGTGCAAAGTAACATGCTGAAACAAAACACTTGCTATTTTTTTCCTCAATCAAATGTCATACAAGGCAGACTTTATTAGGCTCAGCTGATACATACTAAAATGGATGTCCTCCACAAGATACCACAATGATGTGTTTCATGGTCAGTTTAACCTCATTTAACAAGAACTGTATGACTCCATGATAGGAGTAGCTGTTGTGATCTGAATATGACACTACATCCATCTGTTTTTGTTTTTAGGATATATTGGTACCTAATAGAAACTACCCATGTATCCCTATTTCTGAAAGTTGATCCACACTATTTAAGAAATAAGGAACTCATCGAAAGGAAATAATGGAGGTATGCAGGCTATAATCTCACTCAGATATGGGTATAACCTAGTGTATATAAGTAAAAAAACATCTAATTTTTTAGAGTCCAGGTTTTATTAGACTCGCCGGAGTACCTTATTCTAACATGAATCGATCTTTACATGCATATAAAATCGAATAAGACAACCAGCAGGCACTGACTCGAGGGCATAAATGAAGCAAATCGATCTTCGTATGCATCAGATAAAGAACATAGCTAGTACGTACCTGGTTCAAATCACTGGGTGGTTGCTGCACGGCTGCTCTGCTCCGCTGTGTCACCTGACCTGTGCCCATCGCCTCCATCCTTAACCGTGGGGAAGAGATGAGGACAGGCATCTAGGGTTTCGTGAGCAGTGGAGGAGACGCGGACTGGCAGGAGCAAGCCGCATCGGGAGGAACCCGCAGCTGCGGTCGCCGGCGGTGCCTGTTGGAGCAAGCGGCGTCGTCGCCTAGGCAGCGCGCCGCGCGGTGAGGCAGCGACGCTGGGGCCCGACAGGCACGCCGCGACGCTGGGAGAGAGGGAGAGGGAGAGGGAGAGGGAGAGGGAGAGGGAGAGAGAGGAAGGGAATAGGGGGGCATGAGTGGCGGAGGAGAAGGAGGAGAGCGGCCGCAGCTGCCGCGCACCGCTCGCGCCAGTTGCCGTTGGCGGCGGTCGGGGCGAGGTCGCGAGGTGCGAGCGTCGGGTGGGAGACAGAGGAGGGGGCAAGTTTTTTTTTGTGTGAGAAGCATCAGGAAGGAGAAGCAGGAGCCGGGTTTATATTTGGCTGACCGGATTCGGATGAGAAGCCATGGAAGTTAGAGAAAAACAGAGGCGAAACCGGTGAAGCTGCACTCAAGAAGGAGAAGCTGCTCTAACAGAATCCAGCGAAAACAATCCTGGCCATCGGGAGAGGAGATCGGACGGATGAAAATTTTTGGGTGACGTGGACGCTGTTCCTGGCGGCTAAACCAAACTGGCGTAATGATAGTAGATGCTGCAGTAGCTTTATCGGAAAAGATATTCGAACAGGTCCACACTGCTCCATCAGACAAGAAGAGCTGTTCTTCTATCGCAAAAATGTCTGGTTGTATGCCGTTAGCAATAATCTGCATATCGGCCGCAGTGGCACAGCAGCTATCACAATCAGCAACAAATCGATTTGATGTGGCATTATGCCAAGCATTAAACGGATTTGCAGAAATTCCCTGTATGAAACCGTTGGCTGAGAGTCTAGTCCTTGGCTACCACTGCCTTCCCCTGCATCTGAAGACTTGCTTGCTGGAATGCAGTATATATCCCCCAAACCAAAGATTCGAAAGGGATGATCTGATCAGGATTTGGATGGACGAAGGTTTTGCTGACGAGGAACAAGCTCCTGGTTACTTTGAGGAGCTTGTCAAATGGGGGTATATTTCGATTTCCCTGGCTGAAGGCATACGCCATAGCCAGGTTGCCGAATATGAAATTAGCGCTGTGGTACTAGCCTTCCTCAGCTCCCAGGCACAAGAACATGACTTTGTCGCTTCGGCGGGGTATTTCTCTAGCACAGAGTCCCTGTATGGTCGACGACACCATCGGATATCTGTCCAGGGAGGCCTGGGTTCATGGGATGTTTCAAGATTGGATTTCTCATGCATGCGCTCACTCGTGGTTTTCGGGCGCGCAAGTTTAATACCATTCGATCGTTTGAGCCGCCTGCGAGTGCTGCATCTTGACGAGGACACGAACTTGGAGGGTGCAGCAGATCTATACAATTTCCCGGATTTGGGCGATGATGATCTGATGGATATATGTGAACTGCTTTTGCTGCTGAGGTACTTGAAACTGAAGGGCTGCAAAATCACCATGCTGCCTCCACAAATTGGAGAACTGCAGCTTCTGGAGACTCTGGACGTGAGAGGTACAGGTGTCAGGGAGCTACCAAGGGAGATCGGGGAGCTGCAGCGGCTGAAGACTCTGAATGTAAGTAACACGGCGGTGACAGAAGTACCAAAGGAAATCGAAAAGCTGCACATGCTGAACACTCTGGACGTAAGCGACACAAACGTGCGTGAACTCCCCGCGGAAATAAGAAACCTAGAAAACCTGGAGATACTTGACGTGAGCAACACCATGGTTGCAAAGTTACCCAGGGAAATCAGAAACCTGCAGCGGTTGGAGACACTGCACTTAAGTGGCATAGATGTCACGGAAACAGAGCTAGCCGAGGAAATCGGACAGCTGCAGCATCTGGAGAGTGGAGACACTTGACGTCAGTAACACAAAGGTTGCGAAGCTACCCATGGAAATTTGGAACCTGCAGCAGCTCAAGACTCTGAATATTAGCAACACCAATGTCAGAGAGCTACCTTGGGAAGCTGGCCAGCGTTCCAACTCCATCAGTGTGGTTGCCGGCGACAAGGATTCCCCTAAAGTGGTGAACTTGCTTGAGGGCGCAGTGAACAATTATGGTGATATTTGTTCGCGGGAGAACATATCCATTATCCTCTTTGATCGTTTCGGCTCCAGCTGGGAACCTATACCTGTGGAGATTTAAGATTCCCGGCAAACATGTCAGTCTCCCTCCATGGCTCAATAAAGAAACTCTCAGCGACATTTCATCCTTAGAAATCAATCTATGGAAACTGAGGGAGGATGACCTCAAGATTCTTCAGGAGATGCCCAAGCTTCAGGTTCTTGCACTACAGGTCGAAGTTCTCCCCAGAAGAACCATCACTGGTGCAGGGTTCTCAAGGCTGGAGAGCTTCTGTGTTGATTGCCGGGTGCCACGACTGAGCTTCCAGAGTGAAGCCATGCCGGTGTTGAAACATCTTCAGTTCAACTTCTATGCTTTCCGGGCAACCAAACAAGAGCCCATGGGCATCGTGCACCTCTCGAGCCTCCGAAGGGTCGATTTCCGGTGTGCCTCCGGGTACACAACGGATGCTCCGGGCATATGTGTGAGCTTATTAATCAGGTGAGGAAAGAAGCCACAAGGAGCACCGCAACCGTATCACCCTTTGCATCAACACGGAAGAGATCGTCCGTGACATTGTGCCTGCTAGTACTGGTACCAGCGCGGTAAGTGTGACTGATAAGAAACCTGAGCCTACCGGTAATGACGACATTATTGACAATGGAGACAATATTTCGGTCAGAAGTAGTGGGCTACCTGAGTGGATTTATTTTCAGGTACGTTTCTGTTGATCGATGTAGCTTGACAACTTGAACGCATGGTAGCGATGTGTGTTACGAACAAATATCTAACTAGTGCACGTTGCGCTTTCTTTCCCTCAACTTTTGCCTGCAGTGATGCATGGTGGCGATCCTTATGCTAGCTTTGTACGGCCGTCGTCGTCTTTTTGAGAAATCGGGTTTCGTCATCGTGCTTAATTTAATCAAAAGACAGCTTGCTGTGTTTCATCCATCCCGAAGAAGTTAAGATTCTTATGTATTCCAACTCGATCGTTGTCATTTTTGTTGGCCAGCTACATATTTAAACTTTGGTTACTTCTTAAAGCCGTGCGCTGGTCGGCTTGCTATATTTAAATACTATTATTTTATTCGGTACTTCAAGCATCTTATTTTATCTTACTGTTACTAACGGAAGGCCTTGACCTCCACGTTAATTCTCACTATACACGCTAAAAAAATATAAATCCTACTAGATACTATTACTAATTGGAGGCCTAACGTTAATTTTTACTAGGCACCCTAAAAAAGAAATAAATCCTATAAATTGTCACGAATCAAACATGTGGCCTTTCATTTGATATGCTCTAATCATCAGCGCCGATAATAACCATTAGATCTATTATATTTTATAAAAATAAAAAAATGCTCACCACTCTCATTATAAAAAAATACATAAACTTACCCCTAATTTTATATTTAAATTACCCATCTCTGCCATTATAAAGGATAATCCAAAATAACAACATAAATTTGTATCTAAATTACCCACATTAACCATTATTGAAGATAATTAAAAATAACCCCCCTAAATTTACATCTAAATTGCCCACCACCACTGTAATGAAACATAATTAAAATAACCGTAGAAATTGGCATCTAAATTACCCCACTTTACTATTTATGAAAAATAATTCAAAATAACCCTCTACTTATATCTAAATGACTAAATTACTAACTCCCCAATTATAAAAGATAATTTAAAATAATCTCATGATTTTTTAATAAAATATGCACCTATGCCATTATAAAGGATAATGCAAATTGAAACCTAAGTTTGCATTTAAATTGTCCATACATGTCGTAATGAGAGATAATGTAAAGTAATTTATATTACCTATTTATATTTAAATTATCCACCACAGCCATTGTAAAAAAATAAATAAAACTACATTAAAATGATAATATAAGCTATTAAAAAATAATTCAATACCCATACGATATAACGGCAGAGGTGGTATAGAACTGAGGTGCAATATAATACCCTTAATGTCGAGACTCATCTAGATGGAAAGAGTCTTTAATAACAAGACTCATTGAGTTGGAGAGATTCTTTAATAACTTGTTATTAGTGAAGCATTTTGTTTACTGTCGGGTCTAAACCTAGCATCAATGTCGGAATCAGATCCAGGAGTGAAGCATGTTGTTTACTGTCGGGTCTAAACCTAGCATCATTGTCGGGATCAAATCTAGAAAAAAATAAGTTTCCTAGGATTCAAACTCAGGATCTCACTGTTTTCTCAAGCATCTCACCTACTACCCATTTCGCTACTACATTTTTGATGATGACATTATTGTATATCAGATCTAGAAAAAAAATTGTAGGCGATCGATAAGGGCATTGTAAGTGAATTTACTCCTGTTCTTATTTATTAACACCCCTAAACCACAATCACACATGTATCTATCATTTTTAACGTCTATAGTGGAACAACCACAAGCAGCAAAATATGACAAGCATAACACAACACCTTTCTAGTATGATTTAAGCAAAATATGATAACCATGTCACAATGATAACCACATGGATGTTTCCTCAAAAAAAAAAAAAACGATAACCACAACGATCCATGTAGGACAGCATGCATGTACGCATCCATGTTCACTGTCTCATCGTAAATGAATTATTGAATGGTTGCTTGACTAGTCTTTGTCATGCCAGTTTATCGTGCAGGGGCCACAATACAACTGTTCATACATGTTTATTTAGGAGGTGTTTGGCAGAGATCTTAAAAAAAAACAGCTCCACTCCCAATTTTTGCGGCCAAATGTCTCCAGATCTGCCAAAAATGTGAATCTAGCTTCCGGATTCACCAAATACATGGAGCACCTTAAGCGGTGCTCTAAAAATTCTAATTTTGTAGAGTTGGTGAAAATTAACCACCACTGCCACTCATCACACAAAGATGCTGGTTTGATTTTTCTTTCTTTCTCGTTGTCTCTGTTTCTCGTCGCGTGCGCCGCTTCTCCCTATCGCGATTCTCCCCGTCGTTCGCCGCGTCCACCACCGCACGGCGCCGCGCGCGCCACGGTGGTGCAGCCCTGCCCCCCAGCTCCGGCCCCACAGGGAACCCTGCCCTGATGCCCCACCGCGCAGAGGCCAGCCATGGCTGCGCACGATGCACGGCCATGGCCGCGCTCGGGAGGAAGGAAGTATGTTTTTTTGTTTTGGCCCCTGAATATGTTTTCATAATTACATATAAGTCCATCTCAGAGTCGGAGCTCTATCAAACGGTTTGGTGGCAGGTTAGCTCCACCGTAGAGCTGCTCCATGGTGGAGCACCTGCTCCTGCTGTGTTTCCAGAACTGGAGCCCAACCAAACATGCCCTCACTACGTGAAAAACAGTTTGTAGCAATGGGGCTTTTTTTTCTAGGGGCGGCTGGTATTGGAGCAGCCCCTATAGTGGCGTGCTCAGGCTCCAGCACAACAACCATCCCTACAAATAGCACAGTAGGGGTGGCTGGTAATACGAGCCGCCCCTACAAATGCGTCGATCTGAATCCACGTTGAGCTGACGATGACTCGAGTCCGCGTCTGTCTCGAGCCCCCAGTCGCCCACCCGCGCCCCCTCCTCCCCACATCACTCTCTCGTCTCCTCCCTCTATCTTCTCGTCTTCCCCATCTCTCGTCTTCGCCGCCGGCCTGCCAGCCCACCACCGCCGCCGCCGCCTCCGTCTCTTGCTAGTCCACATCTCTTTCTTATCTCTCCCGCCACCCTCTCTCCATCACCCCTCCACCTTCTCTACTCCATCCTCGATTGTGCCTTTCCTCTCCCTCTCGCCAAAACCCTAAACCCTAGCGTTCGCGGTAGACGACAGTGGCGGAGGCCGAAGATGAGGAGATGGGCACATGGCGGGGCGGCACCGCTGGCGCACGCTGTAGCGGCGGCCGAAGAAAATGAGATGGGCGGCGCCTCCTCCACATCCCTCCACCCAAATTTGGTTGGTGCCTCTGGCTCCCTCGTTCCCTTCTCGTCTTCTGACCCAGGGCGGTGGACGAGGCTGAGGCCACCGACGGCGACGATGGGCGGCGGCAAAGGCAAGTCCAAGAAGCAACGTTCTTCTCCCTCCTTAGGTACCCAGGGATTCCATTCGTACCCGCTCTTGCGGTTGAGCCCATCGGTTCGTTTTTCTACGGAGCGTTGATTTCTTTTCTTGCTTGGTTCAGGGGAGGAAGAGGGGAGGGAGTGGAAGAGGCGGGACAAGAAGGAGAGCAGGAGGATCTGCCGATATGTCAGGGAGGATGACGACGACAGGCACAAGAAGAGGAAGAAGAGGAAACACAGCGACAGGGGCAAAGGTTGGGCTCCTTAATCGTTACAGCTTCCGGTTCTTTGGTTTCATCAGTATTTCAAGGATGCTAAAATCGTTACAGCTTCAGTTCTCATTTTCTGAAACATTATATGCTTATTTTTGGTGATATAAGTGATTCTGAGCCGCAGCATATTAACTGAATTTCTGCTAGCTCCATGTACCTATCCAGTCCTTATCCTGAGTTCCTGAGTAGTCCTGTTATTTGTAATTGTATTGTTTTTCCTAAAATTTGCTTCTTAATTACATTGCAACTAATGGCAAAGTAAATCATTGTAGACCCTAACCACTTAGTTGTTTTATCTGGCAGAAATTTGTTGATAGCTCCAAGTTGAAGAGATAAAAGGATTTTGTCTGTCATGCTTGGTTTCCTGCCCTGTTGAGCCACATGGTTTCTTTTTTTTTTTTGTAATGCTAACAGAATTGGCTAGCATTTGTTTTGCTTCCAAAAATTGGCATGACTCTAAAATTTTTGGCTGCGCCAATGTATTTGCACGACTGATTTGATATTATTCTCTAGATAAATTTGGGGATTGGGGTGAGTTCAAGTTTCTCTTTGTCTGTGTAGGACAATGATTTGCTGTATGATATCTTTGACACCAAAATTGATCATACTGCTGTGCGGACCTACCCAGACCATGAATAGCGCCCATCATCTGGTTGTCTTCAAGAAATCTAAGTAAGAACTTCCCCTTACCAAGACCTAGATTTTGGAGACATTTTTTTGTTTGGATTCCTGGTGGAGAAGGATCAGAGCATAGGTTTAGGCGTTAAACTTTGAGTTGGATGTTCACTGGGTTTCTGTTTCTTGATCATTAGGTGACGGAAACACTTTTTCTACAAAAAAAACTCATAATTACGAAGCTGTGGATATCATTGGGACCTAACTGCTGGCAATGATTTTTTGATGGATCTTCACCATATTTCTCTTTCTCGATTATTAGGTAATGGAAACATTTTTTCCTGCAAAAAAACTCATAATTACAAAGCTGTGGATATCATTGGGACCTAACTGTCGGCAATTGTATTTCGATGAAAGATGTAGGAGTTATACCTATGTGAATATTATTGTTGTGTTGTCAATGTTCTGAAACTGCAGTTAGACCATTAGTTTAGAGAATATTAAATGGTTATCCCGCAAAATTTGATAAGTTTAAGGTCGTAGAAATTTATCCAAGCTTTCCATCAAAGTATACTGCACTGGATTGAGAGTTATGCTATGTTAAAGTTGTTTGTCTAAAAATGCAGTTCTGATACTGAGTCAAAATTCAGAGGTTTTTAGGGGACCTTACCTTTGAACTAAAAATAATCCTATAATTAAAGTTTTGTCTTTCAACATGCAGTATTTATATATGAATATTAGTTATATTGTCGTTCATGGATTAGTGGCACGTTTGCAATTTGGCAACGACTTTTAAGAATTCAAACTGCGGTTCATATATATGACAGGGCTGCCCTTATTCATCTAACATTGGTTCTACACTCTTTGAGCCATGCTACAGTACGCTCATGTACTATTTAATTTGTGACGGAATTCCACCTTGTTTTGTATTCTGACATTATTCATAAATATGCTTCCAAAGCATGCTCATTTTTTTGTCTAATTTTACAGGAGCTTTAGATATAACCTAGCTGAGTTGGGCAGTTCTTGTCTAAATACTTTCTGGTTGCGGGTTCTTGCTCAGTGTACGTGGAGCCATAAGAACAACGATTTGAGATGTTCTCAAGAAGCTGGAGGCCTCCGCGCTGGTGCTCAGCCAGTGCATGCCATCTCCCTGTTGCTGGCTAAGCTGGTAAGGCACTCAGCACCATACCCTTTTGTATCTTGGAAATGCGAAGGCCTCACTTCTCAGAGGTCAACTAATGATAATTAAATTGTAATGATATATTATAAAATTAGTGCTTGGAAAGTAATGATATTTTTGTGTCAAGGATTCAAATTGTTCCATTCTATCCTTTGTTTATTATCTTTCCTGTTGTTTTACATATTGGTTAGAGAGTAGTGTAAACTTAAGTGCCAAGATGGATTAGTTAAAATGATGTAGGGCCTTTGATGCCTTTTGCTTCTACAGCTCATGGATATTTTGTGTTTTCGGCAACAATGCCATAACTGTTCCGCAAACGAGAAAAGTTACGAGCCCAGTTACTTTGGAGGTGTGCTTACTAACAAGTAAAGTTAATTAGTAAATTATATTTTTGCATATGTGCATGAGCTGTCCAGTGTGCATGAGCCCAGTTACTTCATATCGATTCTCAAAACGTATATATATCGACAATCCTCATTAGCTTACATGTTTGTATGCATACTTGTAACGTTCACTTAGGTAGAAATCCTCAGTACCAACACCTTGTGCTCTTGTGCTTGTGGTCAGATTTGAATTACATATGTTCTGGTCAGATTTGAATTATATATATATATATATATATATATATGTTCTCGTCGAATTTGAATTGTAAATTTAAATTTTTTTTGGTGGAAAAATGTATTGTAGGGGCGGTTCTAAACTGAGCTGCCTCTACAAACAGGTATTATAGGGGCGACTGGTACTATAGCCGCCCCTACAAATCGATTTGTAGTCGTGGCTGATAACACCAGCCGCCTCTACAAATCGATTTGTAAGGGCGGTCTGAGAACCACCCCTACAAATACATGATTTGTAGAGACGGTATGGTAGGAACGGCTGGCCGAGCCACCTCTACAAAGCCTCACTGGCCGCCCCTACAAATGATATGTGTAGTAGTGCCTTATTCCACACTGTTATCATTGTTAGCATTAATCTGAATCAAACTCTCTCTCTCTATATATATATATATAGCCAAATTGCACAAGCTCTCTCTACATGTATGTCCCACTTGGTCCAATTCCAGTCTTTTTCTCTACACGTATGTCCCACTTGACTGACTTTGCTGGAACACACGATCTAGGTAGGACCATTTGGCTTGATCAATCGATCGTGATGTTATGGACCTACAGACTTGGATCCTTAGCAAGTCAGTCGAGGTAGTTCACATGTGGTCGTGAACTTAATTCACAATAGGAAATGCTGGATCCGCATCCTCGATCGGGTTGCACCACTAGCTTTTCCCACTTAGGTTCCATTCCGCATCCATGGAGCTTGGTCGCCGCCACTAACGCTCATGCCTGGTCCAACCCGCGACCACGCCTGCGCCCGGTCGCCGTTGCACCCAAGCTCCGGCTGTGCCCTGAGCCCACCGCTTGTGGATGCCCCGCGGCCGGCCTCGCCGCCATGCCCTACTGCCCACCGGCGCTTGCCGCCGCTGAGCCTTGAGCTGGCCCCAACATGGCCGCGCACCAAGCTCTAGCCGCACCCTGAGCCCACCTCTCATGGATGCCTTGCGGCTGAGGAACCGCTCGTGGATGCCTCGCGGCTGAGGAAGAGGAAAGTGTGTTAGATTTTTTTCACTTTGGACCCTAATTATTTTTATTATTATTACATGTGAATCCATATCAAAATTGGAGCTCTACCCAACAGTTTTCTAGAAGCCAGGATCCATGGTAGAGCTGCTACATGGTGGAGTTATTGCTGTGGAGTTGCTTTTGTGAAGTTGGAGCTCTACCAAATAGAGTCTACATACGCACTTTATTGAAATACATCATCATACGCACTTTATTGAAACACTTTGTTATATTACTAACTCGTCTAGATGGATAGAGTCTCTGATAACTTGTCATCAGTGATACATTTTATTTACTAACGATGGGCAAACCTAGTCAGAGAGGTTTTCGGTTTACCAGCATCTCTAATCTAGCATTAGTGACTTCTTTCAATTCAATGTCAGTAATTGTCTGCTTTGTGCATCTCTGACATAGGGCCGTAGGCCTGTATGGTAGGCATGTCTCTCTCTATCTGGAAACATTGCACGATATTAGCTTTCCATCCGTGCATGTATATTGTACCATCTCTATTCCAAATTATAAGTCATTTCAACTTTGTTGGAGAGTCAAAACATCTCAAGTTTGACCAAAATTATAGAGAGAATTATAAAGATTTATGACATCAAATAGGTATACTATGAAAATATAATTAATGAAGAACCTGCTGATACTTATTTGGTATTATAAATATTATTATTTTATTATATAAATTTGATCAAACTTGAGATGATTCGACTCTTCAAAAAAATTAGAATGACTTATAATTTAATGAGATAGAGGGAGTATAAGCCAAGAGACAAATTGAAAACAGTTTATATATGTGATCCTGGGCTCATGGCCGCCAGGCTCGCCACCAATAAATATGCATGATTTTCTGATTGGGCAGGGCCAATTCTGGAGTAAGCCTTAGAGCATCTCCAATAGTATCTAAAAAAATAGTCCCCAAAAACATGTTTTCCAATCTTTGCAAAAATATTTTGGAAGACATAAAAAAGCTACAACTCCAACTGTTTCTAAAATCTCGCGCCTTAAAGATAAAATGTAATTTTACATCCTAAACTATTTTTAAATCACACTAACCACTTTTATAATTTATTTCTCTCTTGTACATTTGTATCAGGAACCTGGTCCACTTTTTTTTATCCCCACGTCCTTCCACCTGTAGATTGGCGCAACTATACGTGCGCGTAACTTTATGCACATGGGGGTGGTTTTTTTCATGTGCCAAAAGATTGGGAGGTGGGTTTGAGAGTTGTTGGAGATGAGTTTTTTTCAATCTTGCCAAAATTCCTAGATTGGGACACTGTTTTGGGTACTCTTGGAGATGCTCGGGGTGGCCAGCCCAGGTCTGCTTCAATGACAGATGGATTCAGCCCGTTCCTTGCATTGCATCACAGCTACTACTCTTTTTGCTGCGTGGTTAGCACAATTGCTGAGGCCAGAGGCATTCGCAGCATCAAGATAGGTTATAGAGACGGCATTCTAAATGAATTTACTCCCCTTCTCATTTATTAACACCGCTAAAACCCAATCACACAGGTATATGTAAATATTAACATCTATAGTGGACCAACCACACAAGGAGCACAATATGATAAGCATAACA